AACCTTTCACAATAAAGCTCAAGATCCTGTTGAGACTTTTCAAAATAAACTGAATCGCGTGAAAGAGCAGATTATTTACGGATGAGAAGTAAAAAAGATCCACCAGGTGCTAAAAAATAAACCTTAGACTCAAACGTTAGAACAGGCTTTTCCCCGCAGCACGCCGTGTAATAAATACTCACAAAGAAAACTGGGGCGTTACAACTTGTGTCTAAAAATGTATCGTTTCATGTATCGGTTAAAACACTCGATTCCAGCTACATGACGGGCAGATGGAAACACTTTCCGCAAGACGAGCTACCCGAGATTCACAGAATTTACAGAAAATGTTACATTGTTGTGATTTATATCCTTATCGGACGATAGAATTCTTACATCGGGATATGAGATTTTGGTCATATCGCACAGCCCTAACTGGGACCGGTCATATCTGACAAATAGGCTCAGTCATCCAGGTTTTCCAGGATTGCCAGTTTGTGCTCTCTGTTTAGGGGTTAAAGGTTTGTAGTTCCATAGGTTCGATGCCCAGCTCCTCCAGTGTCCATATTAAAGATCTTCAATAAGATGCTAAATCCAAATTTGATACATCCACCAGCGCATGTGGGTGAGACAGGTGTAGCTTAAAAAATATAGACCGCTATGCACTTTGAGCATCTTAAGCTTTTTTTTTTTAAGCATAGAAAAGTACAATATAAATAGAGCCCATTTACCACACCTTGTACAAATCAGGAGCCTCTGATTCTCTCCTTATTTCTGTGCCCAGCCACTACTGTCGGGTACACGGCATAAAACATGATCTAATCTGAAAGATAGATGGATGTGGATTCAGTTTTTTTACTTTTTCAGGACTTTTGTTTGTTTGTATTTTTTTTCGCCTCCTGGTATCACAGCTCAGTCCGTTCATAGCAGCCACAGTGGGTTTGTTTTGTCACAGTGTGATAGCGGCAGGGGGGTGGTATCATGCGAAAAAGTGACGTCAGTGCATCTTTCGGCTCCAGTGAGTCATCTCCCATCATCTGGTCATAAAGACATGACACATTGAGGGAAGAAAAGACATTTAAAGTTGATCTTACCAACTGCTGCAAGCAAACAAAAAGTAAAAATCTGCTTTACTTGAATTTTTGAAAGGAAAAAATAAAATATTATTATTAGCCACTTAAAACATAGTGATGTCGTTGAGTTTAGATGAAAAGATGAACTGTGTGTGGTTTGTTACGGCGTGAAATAATCACAGCAATATTTAATTGCATGAAGTTGACTTATTGAGCAAAAAGTAAAAAGAGCAGTATAGATGAAAATAACTCCGCTACAATAAAATAATGTGATCTGACAAAACTACATGAAAGCAGGTTTTTGTATTGGTGTAAGTGACAGCTAATGATTTATTTTAAAGTTCTAAAAATTGATCCACGAGGACCCCAGCAATGTTGACTGTGCAAACAACAAGGATTAGTGTTACAGGTAAAAGCAGTAAAAGAGGATGTAGCTCGTGGCACTGTAACATTTTTAAATTGCACACGCAAATATGTCTTCTGTTGTGATTACTTGCATTTTTTCTGATCAGTTCAATTTTATTTGTATAACATCTGTGTCTCACGCTGCTGCGCTGTGTCCTTTCTGTTTTCTAGAACATGAGTGATGCCATGGCAGTGTTGCATAAGCTGCAGACAGGTCTAGACGTGAACGTGAAGTTCACCGGGGTGCGAGTCTTTGAGTACACCCCAGAATGCATTGTGTTTGATCTGCTGGACATCCCTCTTTACCACGGCTGGCTGGTTGACCCCCAGGTGAGATGGATCTTTTTTTGCCTTTACTGCCGTAGAAATCGGCCCGTTTTCTTTTTCTTCTTTTTTTAACCTCAAAAAAAAAAGAAAAACGAAAGAATCCCCCAAGTTTCCGGGGTTTTTTTGTTTTTTTTTCTCCACACATATACGTTGGAGGTTGAATTCATTTTAGTTGTAGTCCAATTAAGTAGTCTTGTTCTAACTTATTACAAAGACAAACTGCTACTACTTCGTACACTTTATTAGATGCACCTTTGTAGTACCAGGTTGGATCCGTTTTTGCCTCCAAAACTACTTCTTTATAGCATATATTTAAACAAGCTGATGAAAACATTTCCCTGAGATTTTGGTCCATATTGTTATGATATTATGATTATGAGTCCCACAGTTGCTGTGGATTTTTCCAATTTTGGTGGTCCCCTGCAAATTGTAGCTTCAATTTTCAGTTCTTAGACCTGGGTCTTCTGCTGCTGTCGCCCATCTGCTTCAAGGTTTTACATGCTGTGCATTAAAAGATGCTCTTCTGCATACATTGGGTGTAATGAATGGTTAGTTGAGGTAGTGTTTCCTTCCTATCATATTAAAGAGATTTTCAGCTAGAGAACTGCAGGTCCGAGGATATTTTCTCTTTTTCAGGCTTGTAAACCTCGAGATAGTTGTGTGGGAACATCTCAGTAATTCAACAGTTTCTGAAATACTCACATCAGCCCATCTGCCACAACCACAGTCACTTAAATCACCTTTTATTCCCATTCTGATGCTCAGTTTAAACTTCAGCACATCCTCTTTCATGTTCACATGTCTCCATGTATTGACTTGCCCCCTTTTTTGTTTTTTAATGTGTGCTTTATTCTAACATCTCATACAGTGCAGCATCATTTTAAAGCAGTTTTACATTTTAACAGGTCATGTTTTTCTTTATTTGCATGCCACATGACTTTACATCCTCGATAAAGTCATTTTAAAAATTAATATTTCAAAACAAGAGCATAAAAACAAATCGTTCTGATTAACCCCACAAACAGGGAGGAAATTAATAAACGATTAAACAAAAAAATGTGCCAAAAAGAATAGAAAGAGATGTGGATTGAATAACCTTGTTGTAATTATGAGGCCATTGCAGAGTTAAAAAGCTTTATAAAACAGAGATTTTCTAGCTTCAATGACTTTTAGCTAAATTTATGTGTTTGCATGCTTTTACTTCCATATGTTTTGTGGTGGTGGATTAAGCTTTAGAAACCAATTTATAATACATTCAGTGGGGGCACCTGGAGCACAAAGACTTTCGTCTTAGGGTATTATTATTAGATTTGTGAAGAGAAAAACAATAATGTTAACAATAATTGGATAAAAGAAATGACAATTAAACAGATGAACAAGAATGTTTTTCATTTGGTTTTAAACTCGTCCAAAATGTGTGCCAACATTATCAGAGCACGATGTGGTTGCTTGTTCCAGCAGCGTCTCCAGTATCAGGGGAGAGTCGGAGAACAATCATTTGTTCTGCTTCAGAGGACCTGAGAGGTTGAGTTGGTTCATAGCTTAGGAGCCTGTCAGAGAGAGGAGGTGGTCTTCAACCCTTAAAAAAATGAGCCATCCACTATAACGCATGCACCTTAACAGAAACCTCTTTATTCTGGACATGAGCAGAAATGATGAGTGTAGTCTCCTAATTTCAATACAAGCTACTGGAATTAGTCTCCAAATGCAGCTCACACCGTACCTCTCCATTACCACGTAATTAGAATTTACTCTTGTACCAGTTTCAGCTCACCTTTTCTTTGAAAGTTTTATTTTTGTTCTATTTTACCAGCTTTTCTTTATCTAATCGTTCTCCAAGTCCTTATGAGTCATGATAAATTCCCACTTGCAGATGTTTACAGCAAAAACAGATCTGACATTAAAAGGTGAACTTTTAAGTGCACTCTCCCATTTGATCGTCCTTTTGAGAAACGTTAATGAAAGGTCATGTTCTTTATAAGTGTGTAATCTGTATAAAGACTTAATAGGTGAATGTAACAGATTTTAATAAGTTAACTTTTTGGGGGGCTGCTGTCATAAATTTTCTTTGGGATTTTCTGCAGCTTTTAGTAAAACAACATCAAAGCTTGTTGAATGTTCTTTCCCACACTTTTTATCTTTGATTACAGATGCATGATATTGTCAAGGCAGTGGGCAACTGCAGCTATAACCAGCTGGTCGAAAAGATAATATCCTGCAAACAGTCAGACAACAGTGAGCTGGCAGGAGAAGGTAAGTGCTTTCTCTTCTCTCCTGATCTGCCCGACTGCTCTAATCTCCCATTTCTTCTCTTTTCATCCTGTGTACTTGAAGCTGGAGAGAAAAGAGAAAAGTTGTACATTTTAGTAAAATAATAAAAAGATTTTTCTTTTTTTTTTTCTTTTAAAAAACAAAAAAATCTGAAACATTTTTTTGTTGGCATTACATTAGACATGCTTCCCCAGAAAACCACAGACTGAGTTTAGATAAAAACCAGGACATACTTGTGACTACTCATCAAATGACCTATTTCCTCGGCTCACAGCGTTCCTACCAGCTGTCTGTAACTTCTCAACTAAATATTTGCTCAATCAACACTGAGCTTCCTAAGTAGTTGTCAGCTGGGCTGCTACCACATCGACACATCACCGCATTAGTCGATGTCCCAGTATGGTTCATTTAATTATCTTGGACAGAGATTAAATTTTGAGAAAACTGAGTTTTGAGTAAAGTTGATTAAATCTTTAAAAGATTAATTCACAATCTAGGGTAGAGTAACCCTAGATTGTGAGGGAGCAGCATTCAAAACTCAAAATCAGTGGAATGCAGTGGTAGCATTCCACTGATTTTGAGTTTTGAATGCTGCTCTGTTGTACAGATGTCAAATGTGACTGTAAAGGTTGCCAGTTCGAGCAGAGAGTCAGAGTTGCTCAGAGTGAGGATAGACATTACAGCAGAATTTCCACAAAGCTTTCCAAGTAGCGACCTGTGTTCATGAATGAACTGGGATTGCTTGATTGGAGTCCAGGCGACTCATCCAAGTGGTAGCTCAATGACAAAAATTGCTTTTATGGGATCTAGCACGTGAAGCTTAAAGCATCCAAAAGCAAATAATAAAATTATTTTTATAGGGATTTAAACGGGAAACTAATCAAAACAAAGGAACTAAAATTTATAGTCACCTAAATCTGCTTTATATTCACCAAGGAATTTAAATCAATTAAAAGTCATCAGTGTTTCTTCATTTTCTAATCTAACTTCATTTAATTTTCTGTTTTGTGTTTCTTTTCTCTTCTCTCTCATTAGGCATCGTAGCAGAGCAGTTTTTAAACAGCACAGCCACCCAGCTGACTTACCATGGACTGTGTGAGCTCACATCTACGGTACAGGAGGGAGAGCTCTGCGTCTTTTTCAGGAATAATCACTTCAGCACCATGATCAAGTACAAGGTAAAACTACCAAAAAGTAACAGCATATTTGCTCTGACTGTGAACCTTATTGATGTAACTTGCATTTAATATTTTCCTGATCAAGACTGCATTTGGCAACCTTCACTGTACTCTTAATGGCAAGTTTTGATACCTTAGTATATATCAATAAAGACAAGGTTTGACGATTTTTCCAAGGGTAGTTGCATAGACAGAGACCACCCTGTCGACACCCAGTCGTTCTGTTCCATAAGCAGGTCTGGAATATGACAGAAACTGCTCAGCTCAGAAAAGAGCTTCAAGAGTTACTCTTAGTATGCTTTAAAGGGGTAAAGAGTTGAGATTTATGTAAGAAGCCACTGCTTCTTGCTATATTGCAACAGCTTAAATGGGTCAGGACGTCATGATACCATCTGTCCCTCTAGCAGCAACAAGTCTTGCAGCCCTTTAAGTGTCAGTTGTTGTAGATTGTATGTGATATATGAACACAACGTATAATCCGTAGGGGTTTTTTTTTTCTTCAATCGAGGTGCAATTGGTTGCACAGAGGATGTTCACCTGGGAGAGCAGTGTCCAAATGACCTAGTGGGAGGGGCTACACAACATGCATAACAAACCTACTGAAGTGTTAATAAGTTACAGTTGAGCTCACAGAAAACAGCTCAACCACTTTCTTGTTTCTGATGAGTAGTTCTTTTGCCTTTAAGTGGCATCTGTGTAGTTAATGATATGCTTTAATATATTCATCAGTCTGAAGAAAGCTGTTTATTTACGTGTACATAACATTAGACACCACATTCACAGTGACCCTAAGAGGGTCATTGCTTACCATATATCTGCAGCAGGGAATAACCTTTCCTGTTATCCAGGGAAGGGGAAGTGAGTGTGTGTTCTTTCATTTTGAATAGTACACTTGTTGCCAATATAAGCAAAGCAGTGCATGTGTGTGCCCCACAACCATCAGACAAAGCATAATAACAGCCCATGGTCTCTTGTAATCACTCCAAAGCAGACCTTTGCATGAACTTGTACACATACATGCTAAATAGCCTTATTTATCTGTGAAGACTGTATGTCTAGGGTCTAGCATGTGATTTAATCTGAACACTGGTACGTTGTTTTTATTCTTCATAAATAATTCTCCTTCAGTGAAATCTTTTTAATATGGGGATCCGAGGAAGGGGATCAGATAAATACCGAAGCACTTTATGTCCGACATCAAAAGAGTTAATCCTGTGAAAGAGTTTATTATTATAGAACAATCAACATTTCCTCAACTTAATATTTTGTAACCAAACTCATTATAATAATAATAATAATCATAATCATAATGAAAATCACAATAAGAGCAATAATATAACTTTGTCTGTCTACATACTCGTTCCATGATCCAAAATTCAACAACCACACTGGCACACAGGCACATCTTAGGCCTGTGAAGGTTCTTATCTAGATTACATATTATCTCACCATGTTACCTAGCAACCACCTAGCAACAGACTAAAGTGACCCATTTTTAACTTTAACTAATGCACCTGTAAAACCTTATAAAAGAATCATATTTTAATGTTACAGCAGTAACTATTAGTAACATCTAATAGCCTCAAAATGTTAAAATTATGTAATTTTTTTTACACCATCATGTTGCCTGGCAACCACTTAACAGTGGCCTAAGGTGGCATTTATATGGTAAAAGCTGGGGTCCTGAGTAGGGATGGGTATCGTTTAGGTTTTATCCGATACCAGTGCCAAATTGATACTTTTGAAATCATGCCGGTGCTTAAACGGTGCTCGAACCGGTGCTTAAAGAATGGACACAAACTTTGTCCAAAAACCTCTTGTGTTTTTATTTTTAGCAGTCTCTTTTTTTCTGCAAAATGATAAGCACGGTCCAGCCCCACGCACGGAGCGATCCGAGCTAACTCGCTAATGGAGATTTGCCACACCTGCAGTAGATGTGCTCTGTGTGAGGTCTTGCAGCAAGCTATCAAATACGGTGCATTTCTCGGCTTTTAAAAGAACGCTATGCGTCGCCAGGTGTTTCATCAGATTCGAGGTGTTACCTCCTTTGCACAGTATCACCTAAAGCACAGCCATAATGGCACCGGATATCGGTACCCATCCCTAGTCCTGAGTCCTGTAAATATATCAGTTTGCCAACACCACCAACAGACCAACTAATATTGTGGCATTGGTATGTATTATTAATAATGATCATTTAAATGATGAAAATAGAAAATGGTAGACAATCATCTCTGGCTCCACAAAGCTGATAAATTCTGACCTTCAGCGCTATCACATTGACCAAATCTGACAAATAACCTTTGAAAGTCCTTCACCTCCTTTGTGGTGGTGTTTGTATGTTTGTATACACTGATAAGATGTGTGTAATCTGTGTGTGTTGTTTCCCAGGGCCAGCTGTACCTTCTGGTTACAGACCAAGGTTTCCTGACGGAGGAGAAGGTTGTCTGGGAAAGTCTGCACAACGTTGACGGCGACGGCAATTTCTGCGATTCGGAGTTCAGGTTGCGGCCTCCTTCTGATCCAGAGACTGTATACCGTGGCCAGCAGGATCAGATAGACCAGGTCTGAGCACTGATGCAGGCAAGACTAGCAGAACCAGTAACAATTCCCGTCCAGACCGTGATGTGTTTAAATGTGTTGTGCTTTTCACACCATCAGTGTGACACAAAGTAACGTTTTGGGGTTGTTGTTTTTTTTAGCTGCTTTAAAGCATTGGCCTCAATGAAACACAACACCAGTTCCCATGAGACACAGAATTATCGAAGTGAATAGACACGGGAAATGAAGCCAAAGAAATAAACTCTGCCTCAACCCAGGCTAAAAAAAATATATAATGGAAACTTCTTAAATAATAAATGTGTTGTAGCTCCCAGTGCAAATCACATACAGGGCAGCCTGAATAGCACCGGGCAAGGCTGCAAGGCACCTTGCCCTCCTCTAATGCATGCTTCACTGTGGTCCCTATCAATGCATTGTGTTTGTCTGTGATGCTCTTTTACCTGTTTCACAGCTGTCTTCTTCTCGGTGGACCAAAATAGATTGAACACAGATTTTCTGCCTCGCTCCCACACATGCACCAATGAGACATGAACAGAGGGGCTATTACTTTTTATTCTTCTTCCTTACTCAGGTCTAGCACTCCTTATCAGCAAAATTGTTTTGGTAAGAAAACTGTATTTTATGGATGACTCGTGACTTCAGTTAGATGAAGAAAAAACTCCCCATCTTTACAGCGACACTGTGCATAGCATAGACAAGGAAACACTTTAGATAATGCACTCTGACAAAGTAGACGACAGACACAGTTGTTTCTCCGAATAAGGAAAAACTTGAGGCTTGTGACCAACTGTTCAATAACCAGAACACAGTATTTGATGCATTTAAGCGTTGCAGTGATAGATTTGCTCATAGGTGATTCTTTCTCCACCTTTATATGTGTGTTCATGTCTGTTATCAGGATTATCTGATGGCGCTGTCACTGCAGCAGGAGCAGCAAAGCCAGGACTTACAGTGGGAACAACTCCCAGAAGGCATCAGTGATCTAGAGCTGGCGAAAAAGCTTCAGGAGGAGGAGGACCGACGAGCCTCCCAGTACTACCAGGAGCAAGAGCAGGAGCAGGCGGCGGCGGCGGCAGCAGCAGCACACGCACAGGTAGGGAGGGTGGGAGATAGGGAGATAGAAGCAGGTAAGAGAGGAGGTAATTTTATGAACCACAGAGGGTAAAGTTTGCCTTTTGGAAACGGAAAGATGTCTGCATCAGAGAGCGGAATTACAAAGGAGGAACTGATGATGAAAAGGGGAAGGTGATAGCACATAATCATCCTTTTTCTCCTTAATTCATGTGAGCAGAGTATAAAATTCAGGAAGTGGACAAAAAGAAATAAAACAGAGAACAGAAGATAAAAGTAAAACTCTTCAGTTCTATTCACATCAGTTTCTTTATACAGGTTTTCTCCTTTTTTACATTTTTCTTCCGGCTGCTCCTTTTAGGGGTCGCCCAAGTGGAGCATCTCTCTCCATCACACCCTATCCCTAGCATCCTCTTCTATCACCAACCCTCTGCATGTGCTCCTTCATTGCATCCATTTATCTTCCCTGTGCTCTTTTCTCTTGTCCTCCAGCCTGGCAGCTCCATCTTATACATCCTTTGTCGAAAATATTCCCTATCCCTACATGTCCAAACCATCTCAGCCTCGCCCGTCTTTGTCAAAAAATTCACATTTTTGTTGTTGTTATCCACGAATTTTCAATTGACTGTTTTACAAAAAAAAGTAGATATAACGTTTTGGAAGGAAAGAAAGGGTAAAGTGAAATTAGCCAAATGTGGCATAATATTTGGATGTAAATGATGTGATATTTAAAATCTCCATATATCAGTATCATTTCAGAAATGCTGAAGAAGAGGTCAGAGGTCCAAAGTACATCATATACCCATCTAACATTCCCAGTGTGCCTATATGTCATTAATACAAACAATTGCAGTAAGAGATGCAGTTTTAAATAACTCTATATATCATTATTACTTTGCCCATCAGATCAATCTATTCACTTTTAAGGAGAGGTCAGAGGTCAAGTGTGATATATAATAGATTTCTATCTGTTGACAAGACACACACTTGTAAGAATCACAGTTTTTAAGGCTTTTTCTCAGTTTTCAACCAATCAAATTATGAAGTTGACCTTGAAACCTTGGTGCATGTAAGCCAACTATTAATGGTTACCTCTCAAAGTCTGTGTAATTAATTCCAGAGAGAGATTAATTTTTGGTTGATCATTTCTTGCCACAGTTTTTCAACAAATACAAACAAAGCTGTAAATTTCTACTCTTTTGCTGTCCTGTTCGGGAAGGAGGGCCAGCAGGATGC